CGTGGGATGGAAAAACATGGGATGTTCTCTTTTCAGAACTAGGCTACCCTATCTGTTCTCAAAATACCTGCTCGAAATCAAGGCTTTGTTTAATCAAATCCATTGTAAATCCAACCTATCTGTGCAAAGGTGATAGCTTCTCAGCAAGAGGTTGCCACCACAAACTACTTGCCAAAATGTGGAGGTGGTGTCTGAGTACATAATTCTTTTGAACCTACAGCTTTTGGCACCCACAGAAACCTTTAACACAGCAAGCTGAGCTGCCAGTGAAAAGAATGACTGATCGGGAAGGGGGTGCAGGGCAGAGTGCTTTGACAGGCACCAAGCACCATGACCAGAATTCCACTGGGGTCCATTGGCACCACCGTGCCCACCTGATGTATACAAGTGGCAAACTCATTCTCCAGGAGTTTGGTAGTGACCCACATGCTCCCATCTTGTGCAAGAGAGGTTTGGGGAACCGGAGTAAAAAAGCACTTTAGGAATGAGGACTGAGCATGCATAGCAGCCACAGAATCTAACTGTGTGTGTGCATGTGTGTGTGCGGCTGGCAAGATGGAGGAAAGGGCAAGGGAATCTTCTGAGGGGACGTGTGGCCGACTGGCTAAAAAACTGACCAGGAACACTCCAATCTGCGACCTTTCATTAAAGACCCCATCTGTATTTGTTATTAACCATACATTCTTCACTGGATTTACCTTTAGTAAATGCTCTCATTCAACAACTTTGCTGACTCTTTCTTTAGAAGAGATATTATGGACAGTATAAAGTTAGAATGTATTTTAAGGGCAGAAGATTGCAATAATAAAAAAGCTATTTGTTGGGATGCTGTCATTTAATGGACAAAATGATCAGTTATATTTTATAGGCTGCTGTGTGAAGAGCTTTTATAAATGTAGCCTCCGGTAAGAAAAGTGTGAGGCATGGTGTTGTGGGGAGTAGAGCAAAAATTATTTTGCCGGGGTTCACTTTGCTTCCTAATCTTGAAATCTGACACTGAACTTCTGAACTTACATGAGACTGAATGTTGCTGCTTTGTGCCAAAGCATATAATGTCTCCCATCCCCAGAAACAAACTAGAGTGAAACTCAGGCTAAACTATTTCAGGTGCATTACATCAAACCAGAAATAATCTCCCATCAACTCCTTCACTGGGTTTGTGCTATCGCTGCAACCCACCATGGCTTTTTTTAAACCCAGGATTCATGGGCCTTTTTAGGGTTGTGGGTGGCTTGCTAACCACACCAACCCACCCTCACTGGATTCACACCACACAAGTCGTGTTTGCTGCTTGAATATTCACTGGCTGCCCACTGGTGGCCTCAGTGAGCTATCTGATGATACAAATGGTCCCTTCTCTCCCCGTTGCATTCCTGGCCAAGTTGCAGTTTGCCTCCTGAATGCCACTTCAACTGGCCCCAGTGCAGCTTCCCTTGATGTTAAGAGAGCGGCACAACCTCCTCCAGCTCAGTCCCAAGATCGCTTAGACGTATACAACAGCAGCAACAAGACACATTAATGGCACATGTCTCAGGGGAAGCATGACCATGAATGTATACCATATAGCCACAAGAAACTAATCTGAACCAGTCTGAGATTGGTCCCGTGGGCTTGAACCATCAGCTTCTAATTGAAAATCTGTAAGCGTCGGTAAATACAGATCAAAGCGACAAACACCACGAAGTCTGCACAGGGAGCCTCATAGTTTCCTGCCAACCACTGCTTAGGGAGGGAATGAAAGACAGTTCTAGCCAAATCCTTCCTGTCTTTGGAATCAGGGAACGTACAAACCCAAACCTGTTTCATTGCCTGCTGTATTTTAGCACAGCCCATTGCTTTGCTTTGTACCTTGTCTTGAGTTTTCCTTGTAAAAAAGGCCAGGTATGAATTTTAAAAATTAAACAATAAATAGATATAAAACTCCATATCTATCTGGTCTCCCTTAGTATGCCTAACTCAATGTTGAGGAAACCTATCTGCATATTATTATTTGTACATTTTTCTTGACATTCTACCCCAGCCAATTACAGGGCAGACCTCAAACTGCAAACACACCCGTTCATTTCCCTTGTTGCAATAAAAATGTTTATCACTTCGCTAAGCCTTCCTTTATATGCTTCCTCATACAGTTAGAACATTGAATGTGAGGAGCGTGAATGAAGGCAAACTGGAAACCACAAAGCAAGAACAGCACAGCTACACATCACTGTCCTTGGTGTGAGCCAAGGAAGGGGACCTGCATGGGAAATTTACCACAAAACAAATACCATGTGCTTTTCTCAAGAAATGAAAAATTCAAATCAAACCAGATCATGCCCTGGAAGAAAACATTATAAAACCGAGGCTGTTGGACTTTGGGCACATCATGGGAAGGTGAAGCTCACTGGAGAAAGCAATAATGCTAGGGAAAGTCACAGGCAGAAGGAAAAAGGGAAGACCAAACATAAGATTGATCGATTCATAGAACAGTACAGTTGGAAGAGGCCATGTAGGCCAGCAGGTCCAACCCCTGCTGATGCAGGATGCCAAGTTACACCATCCCTCTCAAATGATTGTCCAGTGTTGCCTTGAATTGCTCTAGTATGGGAGATCCCGCCACCTCTTTTGGTAACTGGTTCCACTGTCATATTGCTCCAACAGTTAGGAATTTTTTCCTGGTGCCTAACCTGAACTGGGTGAGCTGTAGTTTAAGTTCATTGTTTCATGTCCTACACTCAGGGATGAGTGAGAAGAGATCTTCTCCTTCCTCTGTGTGACAGCCTTTGAGGTACCTGTAGAGTGCTATCATATCCCCTCTCATTCTTCTCCTCTTGAGGCTAAACACATCCAGTTCTCTCAGTCTCCATCCGTCTCAGATTACATAAAGGAAGCCACAGATGTGTGTTTACAAGAGACGAGCAGGGCTGTGAAGCACAAGACATTTTATTTATTTATTGTACTTGCCTACCATCCCATAA